CATGGCCACCCACTGCCACAGGGGCTGCAGCCTACGCCGTCGCCGGCGACTCACAGCAGCCCAGCTCCAGGTTGAGCTGTTGTTCAGCATCTTGGCTGTAGAGGGCAGTGTCACTGGCCCTCATATGTGGGATCCGAACCGGGGCCTTCTGGCATCCCAAGCCAGCTCTTAACCAATGCGCCACTCAGCCGGCCTGAAAATTTTAATTTTAAAAAATAGAATAATACGCACTAGATGGACACATGTCTATAAACATTTATTGAAAGTAAATCTGGTCTCAGTTAAGGATGTGAATGATGCTCAAAATCAATACAAATTATTAAAACATTAAAAAATTGACTTCACTAATCTAAACAATGCAAATTAAACCAATGAGAAGTCATTGTTCACTTGTCAGATTGACAAAAATTTACAATCAAATGTTCAGTCTTTGCAAGAGTAAAGTGAAATAGTATTCCCCAGAATAGCTGGGGATAGTGAAACTCTGAAAAATCTTTTGGCAATATTTACTGAGAATCAGAAACAAACTAAATGCCCAACAATTCAAGGATGGTTAAATTCGCTGATATGGTCTTACAATATTATATAACCAGAAAATTTTTTTGAAAAAACTAATATGGCAAAATGCTGCTGAATGATATTGCGTGAAAAAATCAGAATAGAAAATATGTATTATGTATTCCAAATGATGTTTACAACAGAGCATACACATCCTTACATCCACATATATTCCTAGGGGAATATAAAGGCTAGATGGTAAATACCAAAGTAATAGCAGTTATTATCTCAAGATTGTGGATTTGGGGAGGTTATTTCTTACACTTCTCTGTGTTTTCTCAGTTTTTCTATAATGATCATTTAATACTTCTATAGTCAGAAAAATATATTTTTTTAATCTGGCCTATCAGCAGAAAGGATTAATTGATAGCCAATTCAATTAAGTTTGCTAACAAATGGAGACATTTAGAAAGTGATGAGAACTTGAATGTGGGTAGATTATAATAAGTTTACTTGAGAAACTTAAATTTTTTTCTAGAAGTGTGTTAAATGTGTTACTGCCAGTGTAACACGGCATACTGTTTCACAGCAAATGTGTTAGCAAACTGATACTAGAGGTTATTGGAATTTATCATGCAATTTTCACCAAATTTGACATCAGAATCTTATCTTTATTGTTATGTAACTTTAAATGTTTTTTTAAATATTTAGTTGAGTGATGATCTGCTATTAGTTAATTAAGCAGAATTAGCGAGGAGAAACACCTTAACTGGAAGGGATGTTTGAACTCCTTAATTTTACAGATGAGAAAGAGGACTCGTGTCATGCACCACGTAACAACAGGGATGGGTTCTGAGAAATTCGACGTTTAGCGATTTCGTCACTGTGCGAACATCACCGTATAATTACACAAGCCTGAATGGTGTAGTCTATTCTACACCTAGCTTGTATGGTATAGCCAGGGGTCAGCAAACTGTGGCTCAGCTCCTGAGCCACATGCAGCTCTTTGGGTACGTACATGTGGCTCTGAAGTAAAATTGAAAATGAAAATAAAACTATCATAGTTTCATTTATAAAATTTTAAAAGATATTATTCACATAATGGTGATTATGTAAAAATATGTTCATGGCTCTCGAATAATTTTTAAATTGTTGTGAGGGACAGGATTGGCTCTTCGAAGGTTCGGCAAACTTTTGAGATGGAACGTACCCAACGAGCCACAGTTGCCGACCCCTGGATAGCCTATTGCTCTTAGGTTACAAACCTGTAAAGTTTGTTACTGTACAGAATACTGTAGGCAGTTGTAACACAATGGTATGTGTTTGTGTATCTAAACATAGAAAAGGTACAGTAAAAATATGATATAAAAGATAAAAAGTGGTACCCCTGTGTAGGGTACTTACTGTGAATCGCGATTGTAGGACTGGAGGTTGTTTTGTGTGTGTGAGTGAGTGAGTGGCGAGTGGATGTGAAGGCCTAGGAAATTATTAGATACGACTGTAGGCTTTAGAAACACTGTCCACATAGATGACACTAAATTCATAAAACAACACGAGATTAAATCAAGCACAAGAGAAAATGATGGAATAAGAAATGCTGTAAACACGAGCTGCATGAGGCTGCTGCCAGTGTAACGGCACGTTGTGGTACAGCCAACACTTTTTAGAAATATAAAAAGTACACCCTAAAGTAATAATAGAAAATATATAGTATCGACGAAAGAAATGTCCAAACCTGTAGAGAACTTTTGTAAGAGTTTATTTGAGGCAAACTGACAACATATGCCAGGGAGCAAGATCTCAAATGCTCCAGAGAACAACAGTTTTGCATTTTCTTTTATGTATTTGACATTAAGGAGGGGATATAAGAAAGATTGGAGAAAGCAAGGAAGGGATAAACTACAGGATAGTCAACAAGATGACCTGCTCCCTTGAGGGTCAACACCCCCTTCCAAGGGTATTACTCTGGCATTTGAAAGGTGTGTTAACCTGGATACACAACAACAATGGACAGGGCTGGCTTAAAACTTTCACAGAATAATTTATAG